CAACGGACGACCGAAACCCCAGCCGTGCGAACTGTTGAATTTTAATTACTTTTCCCAAGGGGTAACCGGCTGAACCAATAATTATTAGTTTTTTGGAACGGATAACACCAGCAGTACGAACGGATGCAAATTTTTTTGAACGGATAACACAAGCCGTGCGAACGGATGCAAGTTTTTTTTGAACGGATAACCCAAGCCGTGCGAACGGATACTATATTTTTTTGAACGGATGACCCAAGCCGTGCGAACGGATGCTAATTTTTTTGAACGGATAACCCAAGCCGCGGGAACGGATGCTATATTTTTTTGAACGGATAACCCAAGACGTGCCAACGGATGCTATTTTCTTTTGCACGGGTAACCCTGGCCGTGCGAACGGATGCAAATTTTTTTGAACGGTTAGTGAATGGCAAGTGAATGGCAAGTGAACTGCAAAACGCCTTCAAACGGATAGCCGTTAGTGTACGTTTTCGCGTGAGAGGTCACATATATACATCTGTGATGTCACAAGCCAGAATCAAGCACTATCAAAGAAAAAAAAAAAAAAAGGAAAAGAAAACCTACCATGCCCTTGTTTAGATTCCTGTCAATCAAGCAAAATGCATGTGGTGGTTTTTCGTTCTAAAGGAAAACAATGACAATTCAGTATAACATAATCTTTACTTCAAAAATTACTCAAATGGAACCATGGGGTAGACCCTAATTTTTCTCTTCTCACCAATTACCCACTGTCTCTTGCTGACATGCCTGCAATCCTTTGTGTTGTTTTAAGTTATTTGTTATTACTCAATAAAGGCACAGGGGAATGACATGTCACAGCTCATGACAATGGAGAGGAATGTGGGTGGGTTAGCAAAAGAAATTGGGCGTGGCAGGAAAACAAATTTTTTTCAGTACATTAACTTCGGTACCCCTACATCAAAAGCATTCTATTTATTAAGTAATAAATTAAGCATCTTAAACCATTTAATTTTCATTTCATTTACAAATACCTTGCTTGCTATGATAACACAAATCTCTGTAACAGCCAGTGAGGAGTGAGCCATTCTGTGGGGTGCTCGGCGATAAGTGATGAATGTTCTATTTCCACCATTGTTGACATTAGCCGATTTTCCTGTTTCAGTACACGTCACAAAGTCACATCCTGCCATTAAGCGCTCTTTTCCTTCATAAAGGACTCTGCAATCACATAATGGCCCATACACAGAGTTTTGTTGCTCACTAAAATAACTCAAACCTAATCTAGCAAACTTTTGAGCAAGACCCTTATTGTAAGAACACGATAAGATTTGATAGTTCTGATGAAATGCAAATCATCCAGACCAAAACAAATGCAGTGCAATGTACTGATTCCTAGGCTACAATCACAAAGGCTCATGACATTTGAAGATCAGATAAAAAATTTACGAGTTAGATCCATTATTTTTCAAGGTAACATTCTCCACTGGATCTCTCAGGGTTGCTGGCTGGGCCTGCAGACATTACTTAAAAAAACCATGAACACTGTAGAAATTTAACTATCAAACAAAATTCTGGCTGGAAGAGAGAATCAAGCCAGGTAACTGGCTCTAGAATGGGTGGTATTAAAGGGTATTAACAATTTTAAAGTGGACAATTCCTTATTCCTTTGGTCTATTGACCGAAATCAGCACATGGAGTGAGCTGTTCGATTATGTTGTCCTTCTACCAGACAAGCGACTAGAATCACTTGCATGTTTGACTCGGGTATTGCTTGACTGTATTTTGCCTCTATATGTGACCCTCCATAGGACTTTAAAGCTAAAGGTGATAGCACGCTCACAACACGCTGACACAACACGCTTAGTGTGTCCTACAACACGGATTACGCATAGATTTAACAAAGAAGAGCACACTTGTTTTGTTTTGCAAGATTTAACGCACTAAATCTTTTGTTTCTCTCAGTGTGCAATCGGTAGCACGCTCATATAGCTGTGCGATTGATAGCACACTTAGTGTGCGATCGATGGCATGCTTAGTGTGCGATCGATGGCGTGCCCCATATGAAAATTCTAGGCGAGACACCAGCCATAAATAATATGCTAATCAGCGAGAATCAAACATGACAAGTCATGGTGATGATTCAGCTGACACAAGCGAGACAAACAAACAAGAATTGAGAAGGAACACAGCGAGACATGTGTGCCACCGAGCATGTCTGATCAGGCCATATTCATACCCTCCCTTTCAAAAATTTATGGCCAGACACGAGAGAGATTCAAGTCAGACAACAGTCCCCCTCTCAAAACCAGCAAGAATCTAGCAACAAGTGTTTTTCTCACTAAGGAACGCTCGCAAAACCAAACACAGCTTATGTTTATTCCCAGCCCTAAGACACTCAAAACTTTCTGTGACATTTTAGCGTCGTGGAATACTTGGAAATGAGGGCTGAGAGTTTGGAAAAGCTTAATCTTAATTTGGCGAGAGAAACTACAAAGACAACAGAAAATTTGTAGAAGCCCATAGTCTGTTTATATAAATACTTGTGACTTTCGCTTGCAGCAGCGTGTTTTTACAGGTTTCAAAGTACCATTCAAATTCATTAGAGTAAAATCTGCGTGAACACTGGAACTGAATTTTGACAAAGCTGGCGCTTGGCATGGTGTGCTCGTGTTTACTTTGAGCAAATAACGCTTTTGGTCTTTGGTCATCATGCTACTCACCCGCTCAAAAAATATTCCCCAAACTTTACCACGCGAGATTTGTTTTACATTTGTCTGAGAAAATATATCTACAACCCAATACACAAGAATTGAAACAGTCAATGTTTATGACCGAGAAAAAGATCGAAAACAGCAAAGCACACCGTCGGGTATTGTAAATCCAACTAAAGACTACTTCAAAGAAACTGTGAAAAGCAATGAGTAACGTTGACTTTGAAGCTGAATCTCATCGTCTTTTATGCTCAAAAAACGGCGATCAATGGTGTATGTCAGAAGGTTGAAATAAAATCAATAAGCTTATAAATGCTTGACAACAAGCAGAATCGACTATTATTCGTCAGTAGGCTCATTCAAGAATGGTAAGTAACTATGCATCTATATTCATTTTAACCACTTCAGCCAGTCGTTTTTTAAAGTTCTTTTGACACGGCGGACACACTAGCCTGATTGTTGTGTGCAATCTTGCACGCTAAGTGCGTTGTGTCATCTTGCACACTAAGTGTGTTATGTCATCTCGCATGGTAGCTTTTGTTTTCAAAGGTTAATACACTTTTATGTTCAACTGCTCACGCCACATTGTTCAACAGCTCACACTTTATTTGTTTTAGTGTGTTCTATGAAACAAAAGATTTTGCTAATGAAGTGTGCTCTTGGACACACTTTAAGCGTGCTAAAACTGATTTCCTTTGTTCTAAAGTGGAAGCACGTTGTGAGCGTGCTACCACCTTCAGCCTCAAAGTCCAATGGAGGGTCACATATATACAAAGAGGTAATATCACTATCTTAATTCTTCACCCCCCTAACATCAGTATGCCAATTTTCTATACTAGACAGAGAATTTTTCACTATCAAAGGTTTTTTCCTGGTGATCATTTTCTTTATTCTCACAAACTTAATCCTTGATTCAGAGGTAATACTGTGTGGAGAAATTAAATGCTGGTCACTCCTGGAAGGTAAATGAATCTAGTTTAGAAATCATGAGTGCCTGTTGGAAAGAAGGGCACCGGATTGTGTTGTGCGGGAGGTCAAGGGTTCAAGCCTTGGCCGGACCAATACTCATGGTCTTAAAATAAGTGAGGAGAAATTGCTACCTTTCTATAATCAAGAAATGGATAGATATTCTAGTCTTCTCAGATAAGGACGAATAAACCGTGCAAAGACCCCGTCTCCTGCAGGGTTAGGGGCAGGAGCAGTTAATTTCCCACGCAAGAGATTACTATGTCATGGATGTCCTCCCCTGGGGTGGGATAGGTGGGAATTGGCCCTGAAAAGCCCCCATGGGGAGTGGTCAACTAACCTATGTATGTCAGTATGTATGTATGAATTTCTTACCCAATATCAGTCAGTGGAGGTTTGTCTGTTCCTCTACGAACACAGAGGTAACATGATGGCTGTCTTATGGAGCCATGATTGAGATCAGCAGGAAATCCAGCAGGGGTTTTGTCAATACAAGTGTATCCCTTGGGGGGTCTTTCTCCTAAACTCTTGAATATCACAGTAACATCTGTGATTGGTTCCGAAATATGCCTGTCATCATCCAAGTGTATAGCATTCTGAGTTGACTTGCCATTACCAAGGCCAGCTACTACAAAGTAGTCACCTACTCTCTGAGGTTTATCAGGGTCAACCATACTCCTGAGACATTATCCTGGAAATAAAAAACATTAATAAATGACTTGTACTAAGTGAAATAAACAATTATAATGTTGGGAGACATCATTTTCAAATCATATTTATTCTTTTAAGTTTGAAGCTGCAGCCTACAACCTATAGAACCTCAAATACTTTTGCATGATCTACACTTTTTCAACAGGACTTCACATGACTTTTTAATTTTTTTTTTTTGTGTGTGTGTTTCTTTCTGATTTGAAGTCACCTAAATAAAAATGCCTCGTTAAAACTGTGACAATTACCCAATACCCTTAAGTTTGTGATCTTTTCTGTTAAAATCAACAGTCAGACAGATTGATTATCAGCCAATCTAAATTCAAATAATTCTTGTGAAGAACACCTTTATCATAGTCGGCATCCTCTCTGGAAGTTTATAGGATCACATTTGTTGATAAATTTGCGCATTGTCATTACAAATGGCTGGACCTGTCATGGTTAACAATGTTTTTTTAAATGCAATATTAAATCATATCTTTCAACACCAGGTGTGTGTGCCATCATTGTGGTTAAGAAAGAGATAATGGCTTAATATAAAACCAGGGTCAAGTTTGAACTTCCTGTTGATTTTCAAGTACATTTAAATGAGATATCTAATGACATTTCTCGCGAAAAACCTTCATAAAGCAAGGCTGTGCTCTAAGGAAAATTGAATGGAGCCCAGTGCTCTGAAACTGTGAAATCCAGGGTGCCCAGCAAATGCTTTGAATGAAAAAGCTCAAATTTCCGAGTCACCCAAGAGCAAAAGACTTAGTATTAGGCGCTGGGGGCCACTGGGCGCTGTTAGAGCACAGCCTTGATAAAGTTGCAGAAATAAAGACTGACATGTATTAACATGTATGTCTTTATAACTTGCTATACCATTGACATCAATTCCACTTAAAATTCTCTGACCTATCTTGTCCAACAGATGAAGTTCTTTGTTAAGTTTTTTTCTGGAAAAAAGGTTAAAGTTTGGTTTTGGCTCCTAACAATGATAATTATAAGCACGTGTATATCAGTTTCAGATCTAACATTACATAACAATCTTTGTTTGATTTTTGACCGCTTCGCCTTTTCATTAAATTCTCCAGGAATTTTACACACAACAACAGCTATTGGTCAAGCTGTTACTCATTCATTTATCAAACTATTAATCACTTCACCGCTAAATTTGAAGATCATGTAATTCAACTGCAAAATTGGATTGTTTTAGGTTTGATTCGTCTTAAGAATGGGGCAGAAGGGGATCAGAAATTCACTTCATCACAGGTTTGTAACAAATAATTATACATATAACAAGGTAAATTATACCACCAAAGATGAACAAATTTTGGTAATCCTTCCCTGTTTTGCTAGAGCAAACGTTATTAAATTGAGATGGGCAAATTCAGCAATTTTAATGTCATGAAGCTAAAAATTGATGATTAAGGAAAAAATTTTTTTCTAATGTTGATTAGATGGTACATGACTACTCACTGATTTATACCCACTTAGATGGATATTTTGAATGAGTCCAAAAGCTCATTCAAATTAAAGGACATAACACTCACACAAAGTTCTTAACTGACACAGAGGGAAGTAAATTTTAATATGAATTTATAACTGAGTGATTTTTGTTTGAAGACATTTTGCAACCCCCTCAAGAAAATTTTATGCTCTGGTGCAGAAGTCAAGAAACATGAATGCAAATATATTCAAAAAGCTTTTTGTCCACACATGGCTAAAATTCAACCCTTAAATCAAATCTATTCCAAGCACTTCAGTGTAAAAAGCACTAAAAAGTGGGAAAAAAAACTATTTATTTTTTTTAAGCGCGGTCATATGTCTCTCTTAAACCGTAAATACTTGTGATTAGCATAATAAGAGTTTCATTTTAAGACATGCTGTCTTGGCATATAACAATTAAATGAAGACAAAACATTTTGACATCAAAACTACACCGAAAATTGCATTTCATTAATCTTCCACGAAAACACTCGATCAAGACGACGGAATCTTAAAAATGGTAGAGAGGCATTTTGTGACCGAATACCTCCTGGTGCGCAAAAAACTGGTTGCAATCTACCAACGGAAATCCCATGTCATTACCAACTAGGATGTATCTTACATTACAATATTCCGTCCTCTTTCGTTTTCACCTTGTTAGGAGTTTCAGAATCGAGAAAGCAAAAGTAGGTATCTAACGCATAACCCTCCTACATGTTACGATTTCAACGACGAAAGGTCGAAAATATGAACACAAAGCCAAAAAAAAAAAAAGGCAGTATATCACAGGCTGAGCGAAAAACGCTCCAGATCCCTTTTTGAAATCTAGCGATCCAAGAGCGGTAGGCGAAAAAGAACCAAACTTTAAATAAGCTTAAGCTTGTAAAACAAATCCAAAAATCACTTCTATCTCACTTTACCCTGTATAAAGTTTTTTTATCTTAGTTCGAGGTGAACATTTAAAAAATATTTCAACGACTTCCCCTAACAGTTTCACTTTGAAGTCTCAAAACGATGACGGAATATTTAACCGGCTTTACCTGTGTTGGCGTAACAAGTGTTTGCCACAACACAGTAATAACAGATTTAGTAATACAGTGTTCGAAAAATTACACACAGATCAATTACTTCTTTAGATCGAGTTCATTGGGTTCATCCAATATCATGTCCCTTGGAATTTCGCATACAGCTATCTGGCATAAGTTTTTCAATGTTCTTTTTCATTGACAAAAACCACATTTCAGGCTCAATGAAATGAAAAAGAACAAAAGTACACATCGTTTTTAAACGAAAATAAACTGCCCGCCGTACGGAAAACGTGGTTGCCTTAAGTTTCAAATCCTTTTCAAATACTGAGAAAAGTACCTTCACTTTGTATCAAGAAATAAATCTTCGTCTCTAAAACTTTGCTCCATATCGTCTGCGGCAGTTTCATCCTCAAAAGAGGCGAGTTTCACGACGTAAAAAGTCCGTCGGAATAAGCCACGAGGAGCAAAGATCCGACGGAACAACAAATCTAACTAGAGCGAGGCTACCAAGTATTCTAAACTCTTGCTTTTCCTCTAGAGTAGAGAGGGTATTTTAGTACACTCAGTAGGGTAGGCTGGGTGGTTTTTTTTTTTTTAGTCACATGGTAGGCATATGGTCTTGTTGGTGGGAGTGTTTGAATAATTTAGTTCACTGATGAGTTGGAACATTCAAGGTACTGGTAAGCTAGGAGTGACACTTTGAAGAATCTCTGTGAAGAGGAATCTTTACCCCTCCTTTTGAAAATTATTCTTGAAGTGTAAAATGATCAGTTTGGAATTCTCGAACCACATTAAGACCTTCGATTACAAGAGTCAAAGAAGTGACTTAGAGCGCGAGGCGATTGAAAAGGTAATTGCAGGTGAATCGCTGTTACCTCTGTTTGAGAGGCACCAATTATCCCTTGAAGAGCAAAGAAAGCTTCTGAAGACTAAACTTGCTTATCCACACAAAGGCGAGGAAAGCAGTCTGTTTTTGCTTTCTATCGCGTGCGGTCACGTGGACTTAGCCAGAAGCCTCATCGAAGAACGGGTAGTCGATATCGAGGAGCGAGGGACGGTACTAGTAGGAGTGTACAAGAATGGAGGGTTTGGCTACGAAGTGGGCGAGGACGTAACCCCTTTATGGTGTGCTGCTGCCTGGTGTAAGTTTGAACTTGTGAAACTTCTAACAAAACATGGTGCAAATATTAATCACAGATCAAAGGTCGGTTCTAGCCCTCTTCTTGTGGCTTGTCGGTACTTCCACTCTAACAGAGCACGACAAGTGCTTCTGGGGAAACCTGATATGCCCTTGCAACTTGATCTTGTCAAATTTCTTCTGGAAAGTGGAGCAAATCTGAATGAGGCTGGTCACCAGGGTGACACTCCTTTAACTGCAGCTGCCTTGTCGGGATTTAAAGACCCATCCCTTGTGGCTTATCTTCTGGAAAAGGGTGCTGATCCAAATGCTAGGAATGGTCATGGCTTCACTGCTCTGCACTTAGCTGCACACAAGGGTTGCTTAGAATCAGTAAAGGTGCTGATTAAAAATGGAGCACAGCTGGGAGCTGGTGATACCCGAGGAATCACACCTCTTCAACTAGCATGCTGTGAATGTCATGATGATGTTGTAGAATGGATAATTTCGCTTCCAGACTGTAGCAGAGAGAAGAAGATTGATGCTTTGGAGCTTCTTGGTGCCTCCCATGTAACTTCCATTGATGTTGACAATATCGAGTATCCAAGTGAAGGACAAGATGAAGAAGAGGATGGAGATGACACAGAATCAATTCAGCATGGATATAATCTGCTGCTAAGAGCAATGAAGGAGTGCTTGAAGCCACCCACTTACATTGTAAAGCAGGTTTTGACACCTCCTCTTGCTGTATATAACAATCACATAGAAAGTCAAAGCCTTGAAGAACTGGAGGCATTTTCTACTCAACACGAGGTCATTCAAATGGAAGGTTTTATCACCAGGGACAGAATTCTTGGTGCTCTGCACTCACCAGAAATTCTACGGCCACTCTTCAACAAAGGTATTGTTTTATCCCACAAAGGGGAACTTGAAGTGGCAGCCAACTTCTACAGCCATGCATTATCATTCAAACTTGTGTCTTCTGATGAAAGTAAAGAAATCTTGCGAAGACTTCTTGATCTCTTTGCGAGCATGATTGAAAAGGGCACACAGCTGAAGATTGCCAACCTTGAGCCAGTAAATCAGTACGTTTTAGCTTGGCTCAAAATCCTGACCCAGGAGAGAGAAAAAGAGCATCTTTCTCATTTTGAACAGCAAGAGCTGAAATGGGCTTTTGACCGCAACTTGCTTCTGGTGTTTAATTTCATTTGCATCGTGGTTAATATCAGTGTTAACTCAGCTGAAGAAGCCAAGAAGAAACAAGAGATGATCAAAACAGTGGTGGATCTCAAGATACAGAATTCTCAGGGCTCTGATATGTTTCATCTAGCTGTCTGGGATTCAGTCATAGAAGTCCACAACAAAGTATGCTTAAAAGAAATCTTCAAAGTGCCTAACAAGAAAGTACTTGAGATTTTGCTACAAAATGGTTCAAACATAAATTCACAAGATCATGCAGGAAATACCCCTCTTCATGTTCTTATGTCAGTCGATCCAAACCTTGCCATTGTTCCATTGGATTTCAAAGAAAATGGAGGAAAGGAATATATCAAGTGGTTTGTCCAAAATGGCGCAAAGATAGATTTGAAGAACTCAGCAGGAGATTGGCCAGTTGATGTAGCAGTATCTGAAATTGCAAAAGAATTTCTGAAACTTTTGTGAACTATAAATAACTGTGACCAAATATTGATCGCAATTAATTTAAGCTGTAAATTGAAATAATGTTCCACTCAACCCTATTTAACCTTTTCATTCCTAGGAGTGTTCAATTGGGTATCTCTCTTAACAACATGAACACATTATCATGCCGAAAGGTGATTGCAAACAGGAAAAAGTCAACTACAACAATTAATAATGGTTGATTTATCAACAAATTCCTAAAGGTCAAATTATTGGAAATGTTTAAAAGACAGTAAGGAGAGTCATTATTCAGATCTTGTGAGTTTTAGGGTTTGAATTGCAATTTAGCTTTAATTTTAAT